TTAAATAATGTAATATTTCACTGCTTTGCATTGCATTAAATTTTGCTACACGACTTTTAGGTCATGGTATTCACGCGTGTTTGCTCAAGTATGTTGCGTGTGTTACGAATTTGTGTGAAAAAAAGGCCTCCCCAAGTTCTTCCCCAAAACATGCGATCCTGAGCCAGCTGCATGCAATGCTTACCCGCAACTTTTATATGGTAAAGCTGACCCCCACTACGCATGTTTTATCTAGCATTATTTTTTTGCAGACGCCACTAACACCTGCGGAAAAACAGAAACTCTACCGATAATGGTTGAAAGAAACAAATCCAGAAAAGTTATTAACACAGAGGAGAAAAAACGCTGAGAGGAGAAAACGAAATAGAAAGAAAATAGCAGAATATTCTTCGTCTGTGCAGGAAAATATTAGAAAGCAGTGGAGAGAGAGAAAAAAGAAAGGCAAAGAAGAATCGAAGCCTGAAGAATTGCTTTTAGTAGAAAATGCGCAGATTTTAAAACAGCAGAGGAATCAATATAGAAGAGGGATTTATAAACTGAAGACTGAAAACACAAAATTCCGATGAAGAATATCACATTTCTGATAACGATGATTATTTTGATTACACATATTTTCAAATGAAAAAGCAGAACAATATATCAGATTTTAGAAAAAAAACAGACTCAAATAAAGTGGAAAGAAAAAAACTGAACAGTCAAATTATGGAGATGAAAAAAAATTACATTTGGAAGAAAGTGGCAGAAATAAGTCTTATATCTAAAGAAAATGAGGGAGTAATAAAAACAAAGGTTGAATCGGTGTTGGCTACAGCTCAGCAGAACGATTTAAAAGATTTTGACAGTTAAATAAACGATTCGGAAGTGACATCGGAAACTCAATCAGATATATGGAGGCTATATTTCAATGACACAGTACTAGTAAGGTACTATCAAAGAGGCTCATGGAAATACTACATCGGTTTTATAGAATATATTCGCGTTGAAAAGGGAAAAGTTATTTTACCGCACGGTTTTTGAAAACCGTAAAAAAATCAGATAATAAAAATCAAGAAACAATTACTGAGGACTTCATTGGAAAACAGATTAAAATTATTAAATAAAACATTGAACGGTCAAAATAATACTTTTTAGTTGCTAATAGCGACTAGGTTTATTTGAGTAGGATATAATGTGCTCGAAAATTATATTTTGTTTGATTCTATTATTATTTTTTAAGCATTTTCAAGTACAAATTTTTATCTCATTATTTGAATAATTAGTAAATAAGAAACAATAAATTATGATACAGCTTTGTTTGTGAAGTTTTTGAATTTAAATAAATAAATTGGTCTATAAAGTATTATATTTGAAATTCCATTATAATAAATAGTCTCGTGTTTTTTTTTTTATATAGGATAGGGACAAACGAACACATTCCACCTGATGGTAAGTGGTTGTTGTGACCCATAGAGATCTACACCTATCCTCAATAAAGAATCATAATACAGATGCATTGTCACCCGTGAGGACCAAGATGGAATGCCTCTTTTCCAGTAAAAAGGGTATTCGGTTCTCTTTTCTCACCATACGAAATACAGCAGTGTTAAGCTGCTATTTTACGCTGGTATTCTGTGAGAGCGTGATCCTTACCCGGTCGACCCGACCCATTTGTGCTACAACTATACTACTAATATAGCTGCAGCATGGCTCTACCACGTATAAAAATCGTGTGAATTAATCTTAACAATATTTCCAGTATGTTATCTATGTCCTGTGTGTTATTGTGCGTTATAGGTTCCCGTGTGTGTTGGTACATTTTCTGTGAGCCTCACCCATTTATAACGATAAACAAGCGAGAACTGACAAGCTTTTTCCGTTTTTAAGGATAATTACAATGGATCCACGAGTGCGAGCCAGTGGTCAACAATTTTCGACCCTTTTGGAGTTCATGGAAAGGTTAAGAAGTATTCATCTAAACCATGAACTTAATTAAATTCAAATGACTTGAGTATGCTCAATGTAAACAATCCGTTGCTTATTGCCCTATTGTTTGTTCAATTGCAGTCACGGCGATCTATCCAATCCCCGATGTGGGCCTCAAGGGCGCTTGAAATCCGAGCGGCTGTGCTGCGAGTTGGCGGTAATATCAAACTCCATCGGTGGTGGAGTAAATAAATCGGCAGACAAATGGAAAAAGGTAACAAATTCAACAGCTATATATGGTAATAATCACTTTATGCTTTACTTTATTTATATTAGCCATTTGCTATTAATATACACTATTATTATTTATTACCTAACCTTCCTACATATTGCTTAATTAATTTCGAAGGTATGGGCCGACTGGAAGTCTAAAACAAAAAAAATCATCGCTAATAAGGCGTCATGCAAGTGGTACTGGTGGTGGGCCGAGTATTCGCCAAACCCTCACGGCTTTTGAGGAGAGGGTGTTGGCCATCATGGGGAATTTGACTGTGGATGGTCTGCCAAGCATTCAGGAACAAGGCTTTGTAAGTATCGCACTTCTTCATTTAAAATTCAGGGTTAACTGATCACTTGAATATTTAAAACATGTATTTAATTAATAACATATAATTAATTAAAATAGTCAAATGGAAAATTAATCAAATGCCTAGTACCTAGTTTAATGAAATGAGTAATGTCACGAGAGGTTTTATATGATATGGTTAGGTATTAGTTAAATTAAGATTTCAAATCATTTTTTTGCAGGGACTATCACAAGTCATCTTCTCGCCAACTTTGTCCCTGAGTCCACCACCAACCACGCACCAACAAGACACAATTAATTTTGAAATCACAACAGCCGATCGTATGTCTAGCTACATACTACTAAATATTTTAATATTTTATAAATACTTTATTAAGTAGGTATTTGAATTCAAGTTCATTTTGTTAACAGAGTCTGTGGCAATATCACCACCCGCGCCCACTACCCCTACACCATCTTGCAGCTGGCAGCCACCGCACACCCTCACACAGTCAACATCGCAAGACCAATCCATGAGGAGTTCAAGAGTGCAACCTGCACCTACTTCCCCTCCGCCGACCTGCAGGCGACGATTTCCACCAACCCCGAGGTCTGGGATAACTGCTTCCCCCACACAAACGTTTCTAAGGGCTCGCCGGAGGCGTACACTCACACCATTCGATAGAGCGACGAGTGAGTTCGTTGCCATCGAACATTTACGTCTTCGGCAGGAGGAGACAGGAGACACAGCTGTAGTATGAGCTGGAGACCCGAAGGATAGAGGTTGACCACGAGCGTAATCAAGTGTTACGCATGTTTGCAGACATTGCGCAAGCGTGGTTTGACCACTATCGGAGTAGGGACAATACGGAGCAATAAGAGATACACAAACTCCGACTCCAAGCTAATATGGAGAAATTTCTAATGGAAAAACCCAATAACACTGCCCAACCCGGGGATCAAATCCGAGACCTCACGGTTAGATATCCGCTACTATTGAAATTCGTCCATAAAAAACTAGTTTAAGATAATGTTAGAAATACTTTAATTTCAACAGCTTTAAAGACTTTTAAATTTAGTACTAATAAGAGTTATTTTTAGTACTGATACTATTTTTAGTTTATTTAAAGTTTAATATTGTTATTTAATAAGTAGATAGTTCAGTGTATGTACCTAGATAGTTATTATTCAAGTAGTTCTAATAAAATAAAAGAGTTGGCTATGTATATTTTCTATTTCCCGTGTTGGTTTCATTTTTATTTATTTAATCTGGTGTTAGTTTATTTTGTAATGGTTGTTATTATGCATATTTTTAACTGTTTTATTTTGTCTTTAATGTTTTTAGTCTTTTTTTTTGTATTTGCAATTTATTATCACATTTAATAACCTTGTATGTAGTTTAGTTTTTAAGTATAAGTCAGGTAAATGGGGAGCCTGCAACTTTGGACTCCCGCACAACACCTGAGGAGGAGGGAGCGACTGAAAAACAGCTCTGTACCAGATCTGTCTCCCGTTACAGACAAAGCTGAGCCATCTCCTTTTGTCTCCAATAATTATAATATTCTTTTGTTTTAACCTTATGTAATTGTGTGTTTTTAGAGGCAATAAACAATTATTATTATTATAACACTTGTTTAGATTTTTTTTATTTTAATAACACATCCAGAATGGGGTGCGAGTGTAGATACTAAGATGATGGCTGAAAGAGTATGAAAGGAAAGTACCACATACGCCGCTGACCTCAATTAAGTTAGGACTAGCACAGGTGAATGGTGAAACACAATAAAAAAAATTAAAATGTTATCTCTATAATTATGTAGACTATTTTATTAATCAATGTTTTATAAACAATCTCACCAAAAACATAACAAAAGGTTGTGAGATCTAACATACAAACATTGCAAGGTAGAAAAAAACTAGTAAAATGAATAGTCACACCACATTACTCTACTTTTCCAACCAAGCAACAAATGAAACATTTAATCAAATTTTATACATTACTATTTGTCTATACAACTAACAATACTTAATATTTAACAACTGTACAAATATTGGCACAGTTGAACAATTATATATATGCTATAATGCTAAATAATTAATAAATATAGATACTTAACTATAAAAAGGGTTATTATAGTATAAATGAATACATGGTTGATAATAACCCCTGGGAATGAGGTGATCGCTTCCAAGCTGTTTCTAAAATAAATTTTGTACTTATATAGTTTGTACAACCATTATTGTAAAATTTGCTTTAAAAAAAAGTCCCGCTGGGTTTCTTGCTGGTTCTTCCCAGGACAGAGGCTTTTTTTCGAACAAGTGGTAAAGTAAAAAATGACTCAATAAAAATTACACATGTGATCTACGAGTATATTGAATAAAAAATTATTCTCTTCTATTCTATTCTATTACTCTGTTAACATTGAGAAAATGTATGAATACATTAGGCTTAGTATTTATATAATAATATAATCATAATCATTTATTTCTTGTATATATATATATTGCATGTTTTTTGTTTTAGGTTAACGGTATAACTTCTCCCGAAATTTTTGATAAGAGCGACGAAGACAGTGGTAATGAAGAATCAACTGCTTGTCTCGGCATCAGTTATTAGCAGCAGCAGAACTTAGAGCCAAGGTATCTGTAGAGGGACGGAAAGAGGAAATACATCAGCAAGAATCCCAAGAGGAACGACCCACTCCAAGCACTTCACAAAACCTACCCCCCCCCCCCCCAAAACAAAGTAAGCGTACGATTTCGAGGAAACGGCGTAATATGGATATCCCACAAAAAGCAGAAAAAAAATGGACACCTCTAAGTTTCTTGCAAGATTTTCATAATCCACTAGAATTTTTTGAGTTGTTTTATGATGAAGAGGTAATCGAACTCTGCGGTCACAGACAGAACAAAATGCAAAGCAGAAAACTGACAAAGTTCTGACAAAATCAAGCAATTCATAGGTATCCTATTATTGTCTGGCTACAATGGTGTTGCTCGATACAGAATGTATTGGGAGCAAAGCATTGACTGTCATTCCTGGTGTAGCAGCTTGTATGTCAAGAAATAGGTTTGAAGAACTACTGCGATTTTATCACGCATGCGACCAGACGAAACCAGGCAAGTTTCCACTTGAGGCATAGTATCATTAAACGCAAGGTTAGCGCATGCGACCAGACGAAACCAGGCAAGTTTCCACTTGAGGCATAGTATCATTAAACGCAAGGTTAGCTGCAAGATTGTATGCGGAACGATATCCAGACTTATACACCCGACATATGAGGTGATTGAACGATTGGATTCTGCCTACAGAGAAGGTAGAATACCTGGAACTCGAGGTTCTCAATCTGGGAGACCGCGAACAATTGAGAACGTCGTCGTGCTACAGGAACGCGAAGAGTATCCCTCGACTTCGGTTCGTATGATACAAAGCCGCACTGGAATACCGAAATCATCGATTCATCGTATTTTAAAAAAAAGGTATCAGTTTCACCCATACCACTTTTAAAGAGTGCCGACGAATGCTGCAACTAAATAGGCAAGATACCGACTTTTATCGTAAAGTTTTGTGGACTGATGAGTCTCAGTGCAGAAGGAACGGATACCTTAACCTGTACAATATTCATAATTGGCAGTTAGAAAACCCGCATGAAACCAGAGAAGACCGTTCACAATACATGTTTAAAATCAATTTATGGACAGGAATCTTCAATGGTTCAATATTAGGACCAATAGAGCTACCACCGACATTAAATGGTGAAAACTTTTTGGCATTTCTTCAACACCAATTGCCAACACTCCTAGAGAATGTGCCACTACAAACACGGGCAACGATGTGGTACCAAAACGACGGTTGCCCAGCACATTACGCTCGAGACGTTCGAGCCTATCTTGACGATAGGTTCTCAAGAAGGTGGATTAGGCGATTGGGGCCAATCTTATGTCCCTCGAGATCCACTGACTTAAATCCTTTGTATTTTTTTATTGGGGTTGTCTTAAGGATAAAGTGTACCTAAAACCAATTCACAACGAAAGGGAAATCCTGCCCGGTGCAGGGCAAGTATTGCCAGAATTTTGACTACGGTGGATTTATCCCTATAGTTAATTCCACCTATGAAAATATGCGGGGAGTTGACCCCCCTTCACGAAAGGTTACCCCTTAGCGCATTCACGCACGTGATGTGCAACCACCTCAACGTAGAGCTTCTTCAGCAGGCCAAAGATGCATGCCAAGACGTCCTTACACAGTTTTTAGACCTCTACTCTGCGATGCCAGGCTACCAATATATCCAAAAACCCTATTTCTGATTTCATCAGTCACATTGGTAGAGTCACCATCCCTGGAGGAGATGAAGTTTCTAATAGCTTTATTAGGCAGTAGCTTTATTCCACAAGGTCCAATGAATATCAACGGCGTCGAAATCCCCTCAGGCAATTTCGGTGCTATAAACGCACAAAATCACAACGTTTACGAATGTTATGTTAGCCCATGTACAATATCAGCCCGTGTGTAAGCTACAAAAGCTCAGTGCCTGCAGTCTCGACATAGATAACAACGCAATTGCTAACTGCCGATTGTTAAATAATAACGTAAAAAAATGTTTGCCGTAACGATGCTTACGATAAATGCAAGTCTCGACAGCCGAGATACCGAACAAAATTCTGACATATCTTCACTTTATGATGTTGTTACGCTAGCAAAAAACGTATTCATAGTGCAGTGTTTTCTTAAAAAAATATTGGCTGTTAAAAAATCTCCTTGAATCACAGGGAAAATTGGTAGACATAATTTTATAAAAATAATTGATTTTCTTTGAAAATTGTACAGAAACAGTAGGAACCTTATGTTATAAAAATATTTTTTATAGTAACTTACAAGCAGATTTTACCGTTTCTAAGAATTGAAGTAATTTGTTAAATATCAAAGGACCTAAAAGTTTGCCTCCTTGCAACACTGATGTTAATGTCAATCCAAAAAAAAACAAAACGGTCAGTTTTGATTTGACAACGTACCTAACGTATTTACTATTATAATAAAACAAAATATTTATATATTCCGATTTTTATCAAAGTTTATGATATATATATTATGTCTTCGATGGTGGGGGACACTGACGCAGGCGCAAGCCCGGTTTCGAGATGCGTTAAGTAAGTACAACTCGAATCGAATCTATCGTTGTTTATTGAATGGTTTGTTTAGAGACTGTAATTTTTGCATTTTTAATATTTACTTCTATGTATGTTTCAGACGTAAGCGTACATCACGCGCTACGAGTGGGCAGCTTGAGGCACTGTTGGCCATGTTAGAAGCTCGGCCATATTTATATACCAAAAAATTTAGTGGCCTGCGGGGCAGAGAAAACTATCAAACGGACTGGAGGGAAGTTGCCGATGAGCTAAACCAACTTCCCAACGGAGCCGTCAAGACGCCTGAGCAGTGGATAACAGTTAAGTTTCTATCAAAGAATTTTCCAGATTTACTACTAATGGCTTATACATAAATCAGCCAGCACATTATGTTACTAATATTTACTTAAAATACATAATTATTTATTTTGTAGGTATGGAGAGACTTGAAATGCCGGGCCTGCACTAAAGCCGCAAAATTAAAACGAGAAAGGTTGCAGACCGGCAACCAAGGCATCACCACTGCTCCACTGACAGAGATGGAAAAAAAGATCGTGTCTCTTATAGGTCTTGAGTACACATTTGGCAGTGACTGCCCCGACTCAATGCCAGAGGAAGAAGTGAGTTCAGTAGTGGCTTAATAATTACTTATATACAATTTCATATACTTAATCAAACTTCGTAATCTTAGTTTTTGGTTTTAATGCAATTTACAATAATAAATACTTTTACTAATTATTATAGACATTACAACATGAGATGGAGGCTGGGATGGATATGGTGGAAGTTATTTCTTTGTCTCAATGTAAGTTTCTAAGAGAAGTATATTCAAAATATAATGTAAATTCTGTTGCACTTTAAATGTACTTACCTGCAATGTATTAAAACACAAATTTTAATTACAGGTAATGAATACAAGTTGCTTGAGACAGAGAAAGATCAAGCATTGCCAGCACCACAAATTAGTACGTTTATGTTATTTTTATTACACCTTTATTCATACCTCTCTAGATGATTATATTTCACTAATATATTTTATATTTGATTATTTTAGTAGCAAGTGGCAGCAGAGCTACAGCTGTTGCTTCACCCACTAACCAACAGGACCAAGAGGTAACTTTGCAGTCAGCAGCACCACAAATAAGTAAGTTTGAGCTTTGGTATTCATATAATTCAAAACGTAATTGTACGCTGGTATTCTCACAGAATACCAGCGCAAAATAGCAGCTTAACACTGCTGTGTTTCGTATGATGAGTGTAGAGAACCAGAGACCCTTTTTACTGGAAACGAGGCATTCCATCTTAGTCCTCACGGGTGGCAACACATCTCCATTTGAGATTAGATGTAGATGTCTATGGGCCACAGCAATCATTTACCATCATGTGGACTGTGTGCTCGTTTGTCACCCTTATCCTATAAAAAAAATCACATTTATACTATTGGTAAGATTGTGATCATTTCATGTGTATTTCATTATTTCAGCAGTGAGTGGCAGCAGAGCAGCAGCTGTTATTACCTCACCACCTACTGTTCAACGAGAGAGGCCCAGAAGGATAAGGAGTAAGCTTGATTTTTAATTAAGTGTTAATAATATAAACATTAGTTCACAAGATGATCAGCTTGAGCAGAATAAAGCTAAAAGTGATTTTAATTACAATAAAATAAATTTTGGGTATTTTTAGATCTGAATCCTCGCCACTCTGTTGCTGAGCAAGCAAATATGGCACGTCAGGATTTTTTGGCAGTTGCAGAATCAAATGCAGAAGCAATTAGGGTATGTTATAATATTATATCTATATTCTAAGCTAAACAGAAGAAAAAACCAACAATATATATTTTTATGTGGTAGGGCCATTCTGCAGCTGTATTAGTAGTATAGTTGTAGCATGAATAGGTCGGCTTGACTGAGGAAGGACCACGCTCGCACGGAATAGCAACGTAAAATAGCAGCTTAACACTGCTTTGTTTTGTATTGTGAGTGTAGAGAACCGGATACCCTTTTTACTGAATTAGTTGGTCAATATGTTGTTATAATCTATATACAAATAAATGTGTTTATCTGTATTATTGTTGTTTAATAACTGCCTTATATTAATATTACTATACTGAGCTTAAGCTCAGTGGGTTATTAGCACACTATTAAAACATGAATAACTACTTTTTACATATTTTTTAATTACAGATGCTGGCAGTTGCAACTGAAGTGCAAGCAGCGGCTGCCAAAATGCAAGCAGAGGCGGCAAAAGTGCAGGCAGAGGCGTCTCTTTCGTTAGCACAGGCTGCCAATAAAATAGCAGATGCCTTTATATTATATATAAATAAAAATAATAAATAAAATAAGATGTTTAATGTTTTATTTCACTTCACATAATAGAATAGAATAATTTTTATTCAATATAAATTTTTTAGTAATGTTTTTACTTTTACCACTGGTTCGAAAAAAAAACCTCTGTCCTGGGAAGAACCAGCAAGAAACCCAGCGGGACTTTTTTTTTTTTATAAAATCAATTTACAGTATATTACTTTGTACAATTAATATGACACATTTACTATACACATCATTACTATGATAACATTATAACTAATATAACATAATACTAGATAATTAAGTAAAATTAGTATTTATGAGTCTTCTTTGTATTTGCTCTGCAATAGCTCGCCCAGTGCCAGTTACTCTTCCTGTAATAAAAACACAATTTTAAGATTATTCAAACATAGCATAATACTACAGATAATTAAGTAAAGGTATTATTTATTAATCTTCTTTGTATTCGCTCTGCAATAGCTCGCCCAGTGCCAGTTACTCGTCCTGTAATAGAAACATGCAATTTTAAGATTAACAAAGGTTGTAGTGTTATACTACTTACGTATCATTTTACATTATTTTAAATTCATTTTTCCATTCTGTTTCGATTTTCTGCATTCACCTCAAAACTGGATATTTTACATCACCTTTATTTCCATAGGATCCTGTAACGATTTTAAACCATAAGAACACAATAACAAATCATTTCTACTTCGTATTTTCACATTATCAGCACTTTTAAATTGGTGTCAATGGAGTCTACCTTTTTTCGATCTTTTAGCTAGTTTTCCGTAACTCTACAATCTTGGGCTTTGTGTGGGCAGCTGCGCTACCTTTTTTCCTATATCAATAATATCTCATTTTCCACTTAAATCTTACCGTTTTCTTATTATAAACCAAAAACAAAAATTTGACATGTTTTGTCTTTCTTATTTATATCGTTTCCATGGTAATTATATTCAAATTTGCTACCGATCTGTTATTCCTATTTCGATAATTCCACATAAATCCTCTTTTCTCTTGACCATTTACAAAAAATTTGCGTATAATTTAAATAATTTTTCCGTTCTCTCTAGAAAGGTATAAAAGCCGAACAATCGGTGAAGAAAGGCAGTCTCGCTTCAGTTCGCGAATTGGAAGTATCTCCTAAAGGCCTTATCCCGGGGCCGCACTGCCCCGGGATCCTGCAAGCCTCCACCTACACGTGAAGTCTTCGGCGAAGCCTTCTTCAAACGCGGAGCCGCACCACTCCGGATTCCTACAAGCCTCCATCTACCTCGGAAGTCGCTCCGAGACTACTACAAGCGCGGGGGCCACACTACTCCGGGCGCTACGACTACTTACTCCAGGCGCCGAGTGCACCTACCGCCAGCGCTACCTTTGGGCGCTGCAACTGCTGGCTCTAAGCGTTGAGCGCCCCTTCTCCAGGCGCTACGTGCGCCGGCTCCGGACACTGCGTGTACTGGCTCCAGGCGCTGCGCGCCGTCGCTGCTAAGAAACCTACCTCTACAAGCGCAAACGGCGTGTGCTGGCTTCAGGCGCTGCGTGCCGTCGCTGCTAAGAAACCTACCTCTACAAACGCAACGTGTGTCGCTTCGACTTTTAGGCCCCACTACAACACTATATTCCCCTATTCTTTCACCTTTATTTTTTTTATAATCTAATTGTACTCTCACTTCATTCATCATCATCCTCATTTCATTTTTTTATAAAATTGTAAATACCTTTTATAAATTTAAATATATTGTTTTCTGGCTCTACTTTTGTTGTTTTGTTGTACTTAGGTTAGGATTTTTTTTTTTTAAATGTCGCTTCACGACATTTGGCGCCCAACGTAAAAGTCCTCTTTCTCTCTTAATTCTTCACCTTTACTGCGCCTTGTCCATTCCCTTTTGATTTAATTGCTCTCCCTTTCGTTCTTAACTCATTATTTTAAATTCATTTATTCATCCTTTTCATACCTTCCAAATTCTAAAACAACACTTCATCTAGTGTTTCAACTTATCTGGATTATATTTAGACCTACATTTCACACAACACTTACATTCATCACTTTAATATTTTTATTCTAGAACAAAACTTCATCTAGTTTTTCAACTTATCTAGATTATATTTAGACCTACATTTAACACCTTACTTACATCCATCACTTTAATATTTTTATTCTAGATAACTTAAAGAGGTATAATTTTTAATTAAATTTTTATTTCTTAAACTTAACTTTACACATAATTATAACAATGAAAAGGGTTATTAAGTACGAATTTCTTAACAAGGCCGAACTCGAATACGAAGTGAAGATTAGATGTGAGGAACCAGCTAATACTGTTTTACTTCTAAAAAAACAGGTTTTGCGTTTAGTTGCGAATTCTCACCCTGAAGATATTCTGACTTCTACAATTCCGATTGAGGATGACTTGTCTCAAATTGATTCTACCTTGACCTACTTGGACTGTAAAATTAAAAAATTTTTACAAGGCGAAACCAAATACTTGCGACTAATAGAAACTTTTATTAATCATATCTTTTACAGATTGGAACGAATAGATACTGACTTATATCCAGACTTTAAAGCTATTTTCGATACTTTGAAGATGAAATATGACGATATTACTAAACAATTTGAATCCTTGACTCCAGCTCCAACTGAAAATGACCCTCCTGTTGACCCGACTGTCACGGTTGACCCGACTGTCACGGAACTCCCTCTTGTTTCTCAAAATTCTATTCAGGTCCATACCCCGTATCCTTCACCACCACCTCAATCTTTTTCTCCAACCAACGTCTTCAAAGATCTGAAAAGACACACCTTCAATGGTAAAAGCTGTCCAAGATCCTTTCTTCAAAAACTGGAAGAATACTGTATAGCTCGTGGCTTGTCCAAAGACTTGTTGATT